TCTCTCTCTTTCTCTCTCTATTTCTTTGAGTCTATTCTCTTTACCATCTTTATTTTTCTTTCATTTTTTTTTATACTGAGATCTTTTAGCTCACTACGCTAGAAAACACTTTTTACTTTTCCTTTTTATTAGTTTCATTCTAAAGAACATACACGCACGCACACAAGGAAAAAAGATTTCCAAGGATATCACGTTTACCCACCGAATCGATATTAACGTTCAAACAAAAAAAAAAAAAAAAAAAAAAAAAAGAAAAAGAAAAAGATTTGTTTGATGCATTTAATTTAGGATCTTATTAAAGTAGCACGATATATCGTATTTGCAAGATCGATTTCCATTTTCTTTAATTTTTTATCTTGGTCTCAACGATAAATGAGACTAACCTATTTCAGAATCGTAATCGTAATTGCGATTGTTCCCGTGAAACGTTTCACGGACTTTGGATAATTACCCGCCATTGAATTCGCTTTTGTAACGATAATAATGATAATAATCGGACACATATTTCGAAGTAAGTGCTAACACTATGTGATGCTTCGGTATAGACACTAAGTACGTACGTACGTGGAATGTGTGTATGTGTATATATACGTACTTATGTAAGTATTTAAAATTACGATACAGCATCGCGTCATTTTGTAGTACGAAATGAACAAAAAAAGAAAAGAAAAGATAAAAGAGAAAAAAGATAAAAGAACAAAACAGAAAAAGAAAAGAAAGGAAAAAATGAAACAAGAGGAAGACTCGTAAAGAACAATGTAAACGGATTACTTTGTGCGAGCCATCGCTCAACTTTCACAATTGCAAGATACCATCATTTCGAGGCACATCCTTAAACAATAATAACATAAGTAATAATTCATTTGCACTCGAGGCGACCATCTTAAACTTTTTCAAAGATTAAAAAAAAAAAAAAAAAAAGAAAGAGGAAAAAAGAAAGAAAGAAAGAAAGAAAAAAAGAGAGAAAGAGAGATGTTGGAAGGAAATAAAATATTTATCCATGGTTTACGTTTCTTCCCTCATTTCTATTTTTTTCCCCTTTTTATTCTTTTGTTTCTTCTTCTTCTTCTTCTTCTTCTCTTCGTTCATCCCCTTTCCATCATTCCCCCTTTCCCGTACTCTGTCCCTTTCCCTTTCCCAAGTTCTTATTCATTTTCAAGCGAGAGCCCTTCCGGGCTCGTAGCCTGACAGCAATCCATCCATTGGTGTCGTGGACGGCGATTAAAGTGTTAAATTAACTGTCTCTACATTTCAAAAGGAGACAGTTATTACTCGCCGCAAGGTGACGTGGTTTACGTAATTACCGTCTACCACTTGTCCGATTGTTTTACCCTTTCCAATTTCTCTCTCCCTGATTCTCTTTCTCTTTCTCTCTTTACCATCATCAGAAGAGATATTTCTAATATCAAAGATTTGCATCTCTCTTTCTCTCTTTTCCTTTATCTCTCCCTGAGTCTTCCTCTTTATTCTTTCGGAAATTACAACGTTGGAAAGGAAGGAAGAAATGCCGGAAGCACTCGAATGACAAAATTTCTGCCCACGTTATATCATTTAAAACATTTTCTAGATCATTTAAAACGCCATTCAGGATATATATATATTATGAATTATCTTTTGTAGATATTACAAATTTGGTGTATTCCCTCTTAAAAATTTTGACTTGACGTTTAATATGATTACTATTATAAATAAGACAAATAAGAGATATATATATATATATAATTAATACGTTTCATTGATAAATATTATTTGTTACACGTAGAGATGATTTAATTGAAAAATAAATATTTGTAATGTGTAATACGATAATCAAATAGAAAACTTTCCAAGCAAATATCATCTATCTCATTCGTCGACGTTGAAAAGTCGACTTGATCGAAAGCCAGGATCCACTTGAACACACAGGCCGATTCTTCCCTTTTCGATAGAACAAAAAGAGCAACGGCATAAACCTCGGCGATAGCGAGAGACGGGATCCGAATCTCACCGAAAACCGGGAACGTATAAAAATCGTCGGGAGTCAGGGTAGACTCCAAGAAGATTCATAGATCGTGCGATAAAACGCTTTCACGTGCTCGACGAGAACGAAGACGAGAGGAAGACGAAAATAGAGAAGGAGAAGAAGGTAAAGGGAAGGAAAAGAAGAAGAAGATGAGGGAGGAGAGGGAAGAAGAGAAAGAAGAAGATGCGAAAGAGGACGAGTTACGGTGCGGTAGTCTCGTTGCTACTCTACCACTCCTTATCGCCACTGCGTTCAATGCATAAAGCATAAAGTTCGTATCTCATGCATACATTCATACAGACATAGAAAAGCGCAGACAAAAAGAGAGAGAGAGAGAGAGAGAGAGAGAAATAAAGAAAAGGAAATGAAGGAAGGATGATGGTTAAGGTAGAAAGGTCATAACTTACTTTTTGCCAAGATTTACCCCCACTTTTCAAATATTTCCACTCCTCTAGTCCAGGATCTCCAAAAGACACGAGCGTAAACCTTAGCCTCTACGTTGTGATCTTACGTGTGCGACTTTACGTTGTATACATACGTACATATATATATATATATATATATATATATATACTCACGTAGGTAGTAGTATCTCTAAAATCAGCGAAGGGTGACCAAGACACGTATCGGACGGGTATCCGTGGCTTTTGATACGCTACTCCTAGCTCAATTCGAAACCTACCTTCATCCCCTTCGTCGCTTCGTACTATCAAACCCTCCATTCTCCGTCTACACACGACCGCGAACCGCTCAAAATTCCATTTTCCCCATAGGGATACATCCGGCGGGCTCATTGAAAAATAGCCCACTTACCGTGCTTCACGGCCTCTTTTTACCATAAATCAATCGCGTCTCCTCGACTCTCTCTCTCTCTCTCTCTCTCTTTCTCTTTTCCTCTCCATCTTCTCACACGCAATCTATCGGTTCTCGTTCGCCGCCATTCCTTATTCTTATTCCTCTTCGTCTCCCGCGTGCCTTCGATTTCATCTTTGCGAGCTTTTTCTATCGTTGCTTTTCAGTTTCCATTTTTCTCTTCGCTCTCCATCATCTCTTTCTGTCCCTCTCTTTCTCTCTCTCTCTCTCTCTCTCTCTCTCTCTCTCTTCCTTTCCTATCTCCAATCTTCGAAAGAGGCAAAATCGAATCGACTTCACTGATAGCTACCGTTCTAGGAAAAGAAGTTCGATCTTTCTGATTTTCACGTATTACTTTCGCAATGATTCTTTTAGAAATTTGAAGCTCTATCGCGTTGGATAATAATTTATAGTAAGATGGGAGAAATGCGACGAATGCTCTCGTCCTCGTGCGTCGTTAATGCTTAATTGCATTTTACGCTTCATTGTTCATGCCCGAGCGTTCGTTAAAGCCACGTATAAGAGGCAAAGGAGGGAGGAAGAAAGGGATAGATAGTTGTGGTATTGGTGGTGGAGGAAGAGGAAAAAGACGGCGAAGACGATGACGACAACGACGACGACGACGAGGACGACGACGACGACGATGCTGTGCGATTTCCAACGGCGTCGAAATAACGAGCTACCGGCTGCACACCAAGGGACTCCTTTAATCGGTGATAGGATAACTATGAGTGTCATTAATTACTCCGGACGTGGGTTCCTTCCTTTTCCTTCCCTCTTACCTTTCTTCTTTCCTCTCTCCCTCTCTCTTTCATATTCTTATTCTTATTCGTGCGAGAGCTTTTTAGAGCTTTAGAAGCTCCGAGATACGAATAACTCAGCATTCGAAAACCCTTCTTTTTTAAAAACTTTCCACTAGCCACTAAGTCCACTGGGTGTTCTTAATAATTCAAAGCGAGCCGCTTATCACGGCTAAACTTTCTCGGTTAATTCGACTTCATGCAATTTTTTATCTCCGTTAACCGAACGAACGATTTCTTTTCGAAGGATCGTGTTCTCGCAAATTTTTAATAAGTAGAAAAACGATAAAATTTGTCGAAAGCAAAAGCAAAATCGTTGTTAACGATGAACGATCAAAGCCATCGTATTCGTGGCATCGTAATCCGTCAGATGAATTTAAGCTGTATGGAAGAAGCGCTTTAAACTCTTCGTCGCCTCCCGTAATCTCATTGAAAACTGTTTGAACAGGACCGAGCGATCGGTAGCGCCATTGTAGTCGGCTAGAATTCAATGTCTAGGGGTTGGTTTCATTGCTCGATTAATTTCGCGAGTAGTAGCGTCGAATTGATCGAATTAAAAAGAATTCGCGATGAAAAACTTTCGATTAAGTTAAACTTTCGCAAGCATTTAACTTCACGAACTGTACGGAAGGATGCAGTCGGTTGTGAAAAAAAAAAAAAATAAACAAGGCTACAGGATGCAAAAGTGGGAAAGAGAGGGAGAGAGAGAGAGAGAGAGAGAGATGTAATTACGTTCGATTATAGTAGCGTTCTTTCGAGAAGAGATATAATTAATTTCCTTCATGAAATAAACGTTGCAAAACTAATTTCAATTTATCATTGATAGATATACATGTATCATCAAACGTTTCCTTTTCTTCTTTTCCTCTAGCCACATTTATAGATCTCATAACATCTAAAATCACGAAATTACGAATCGGAAGCTCTCCTAGCGTCATACGAAAGTAACGAAGAACGTTACTCCCTCCTCTCTTGCACACTAATTCTAATGGATGACTAAAGTTTCGTGTTCGTAGCGAATGCAATGAGGTACCCTATTTGCCTTCAACGTGACAATGGGAGTATGCGAGATAAGTATGGTTAAATGATTTTCTCAAAGATCCTCTGACTCTAAAATGATTTTATGATCGATAACATACTTAAGATAAATTGTAACGATCTTACAAATAGTAATAATAATAATAATAATAAACAAGATAACAAGTTTTATTTTTCTCCATGACGAATGACCATATCCGTCTGACAAATTCGAAATGAAATCCCATAGTAATAACACAAGCGTGAGCATTGTTGTATACATTTACCAAGATCTTTTCTAAAGTAGAAAGAATTTCTCTTTCTTACAGATAATCGACCAGCTGTCCCGAAGATTCATCAACAAACTGGTGCATTCTCATGGCAGCACGGAAACTCGCAGCCCTCTTCGCCGCGGTTCTACAACTTTGCTTATGTGAGTTTCTCTTTTCCTTTATCCCTTTTATTCTACATTCGAAATTCGTTCGTAAATTTTCCAATACTTTAGAAATCTTATCTAAATGTCATTGAAAAACTCTTCAAAAAGTTAAAAAAAAAAAATCAATCTTACACAGCTGACTTTGTAAATAAGAAGTACTTTTGTCTTTGGACGGAATAGATGTATAGGAAAAAAAAGGGGGGAAAAAAAATAAAAATAAAAGAAAATAGATAAAGAAAGTGAAAGAAAAATAGTAGGAGTGCTGGGAAGAAAAAAAAGAAGAGAGGACTTGAGAGAGAGATAGATAGATAGAGAGGGAGAGAGAGAGAGAGAAAGAGAAAGAAAGCCGCAAATTGAAAGTTCACGTTCGCATTGCGCCACCTTCCGGCACATGACTTTCATGAGAACGCTGCAGATGCGACCACTGAAGCTTTCTTTCTGTCGTTTCTCTCGTAAACGATTTTCCCAGTTTTCTAAAGATAGACCAGAAGACGAGACAATCAACTATCCAAAAGATAGAGATAGAAGTAAGAAAAAAAAAAATAAAGAACTTGGAATACAATCGCGTGAAACAAATAACAATATATTCATTTACACGAGTTTTCTCTTTTAAATCCTAACACTTTATCACTTTATAATGATTACAATAAATAAATAAGATCTCTAACGATATAATTTAAAATTACAATTCACCTTCGACTTCGATCAACAAACCAAAATCCTCCGATAAATCTTAGGAAATCCGGAATCACACATTTCCCTAATCCCCGATTAGGAACTAGGTAAAATCTTAAATACGAAGGAAAACGATCCGAAGAAGATTTAAAGAGCCGTCGAGAGAAAGAAGAATGATTGGATTGAGAACATCGTCGAATGTTGAGTAATCCTGAGTACACAGAGACTAAAAAGAGAAAAAAAAATATTGGAAGAGAGATGAGAAAAGAGAGACAGAGAGTGAGTGAGTAAGTGAATGAATGAGAGAGAGAGAGAGAGAGAGAGAGAGAGAGAGAGATAAGATAAGATAGAAAAAGTAATAGACTTATATAAAAAGAGTAGGTATGTGAGTGAATCTATTTAGTGAACATAGTAGTAGACGCGTTGCGGTATCGTTTCTTTTGCAATGGACTTCTATGCAACGAACGATACATTGTCGTGGTCGATGCAGAGAAAACGAAAGAGAGAAACAGATAGAAATGGAGAGAATGAGGGACAAAGAGAGAGAGAGAGAGAGAGAGAGGGAGAACGAGGCCGAAGGAAAGGACTAGTAAAGATGGAAGAGGAAAAGAGAAGGAGGAGTTTGCAGAATCCACTTAAATCCACGGTGATTTACTCGGGCACACGGCCTCCAACTTGGTGGATAGTTCAAGTCCCACCCTTTTTCCCAAGCTCCTGCACCAACTAAAAGTGAGCGAGCGAGCTTTTTAGACCGATAGGGAAGCGTTAAAAAGCTATCCGACGAGGATATCGAGCTAATCGACTTTTAATTCGTTCAAGGTATACATCGATACATCAAACGACCTATTTAGAAAATATTCATATAAGTCTATCCTCTTCATTCTTATTTTAATCGTCAAGAAAAACAAGTTTCTTCTCTTAAATTAAGAAAAAGAAATATATTTGGATAGATCTGAGCTTACGTATCGATATTTTTGCAAGTTAGCTTCTTTTTTTCTATTAATATTATTTAAACAATTTGTAATTGTTTAATTTATAACATAATAAAATATACAAGATGATGTATACAAGACAGTAATTATTTATGTATAAAATATTTTTTTTTATGAAATTGTTTATAAAATTATTATTTGTTATTTTATAATATTTTAAATGTTATATATACTGTTTAACAAGATGACGTAACATGTTATCAAATCGATATAAAAGATTTTATCCCAAAGTCAAAGATTAAAAAGTTATTTTATTTAACAATAAATAGTGACGCACCCTGTATATAAATTTTTAAATCGTCTTTCATATCATCGAAGATGAAATAAATAAATCTTTGATTTAGTCTTCGTTAAAAAATTTTTTCATTCGAGAAAAAAATTGTTTATAAAAATTGTTTATAAACAATTGTTTATTATTTATTAACCGATAGGATGATGAAATAAACAAAAAAATTACATTTAAAATGGTTTTTGTTTCAAGTCTCTACGACCATTAGTTCCGAAGATATAGCCACTTAAAGGAAAAAGATTTACTTTGACACACTGACCTACTTATAATATTCCAAATATGGACATAGGCCTAGTGACCTACATAAATTCCAGGAATTTACGTCGCGTACAATTTTTTTACTATTACTACTACGTAGTACTACGAACGCGAAATATGAATGAAAATATTTGGATGGCGATATCTTCGCAACGGAAAGTCGTAGAGACATGAAACAAAGACCATTTTAAAGGGAAAATTATCCTCTATCCGATTAAATATACAAATACCATTGTTATAATAGAACCAATTTTGCAAATTTTTTATCTCGATGTACATGAACAAGTCAAAAGTTTTTACGTTATTTTGAGAATCAATTATTCATTTCTAACACATTATAGGCTAATTTTTTTTTATCAGATTGTAAAATAGTTTGTTTATATAATGTAATTTATAATTTATTTAACAGATTGTAAAATTATAAGCGATACTACTTGACATTTATTAGCAAACAAATTTCTTTATTTTCGTAAGAAAGAAAATTTCAAGAAGAAGAATTACCATTTCGATGCATCTCTCTCTCTCTCTCTCTCTCTCTTTCTTTCTCTGTCTCTCTTTTTCTCTCTGTCATTCTTTTTCCGAGAAAAACGAGAGGAACTTGTACGCAGTCGATCGGTTGCATAAAGATTTCCATCTGACTTAGGGAGAAAGAGAAAAGAGAGATCTTTGATAGCTTACAAATTTTTCAGCTTCGTAGATGGAATCCTTCAGGATAGTAGGTAATAAGAGAGAGAGAGAGAGAGAGAGAAAGAATGCAAAAAAGAGAGATTCATCGAAAGGTCGAAACCCAACTAGGAGCTGCGGTTTTCCTATCGGCGATCGACGATCGAGTAGCTCCACACATCGAGTAGTCACATCGCTTTTCCTATAAAATTTACGAGTCTCTAGGAGAAGTAGTCCTTTTCTATGATGGCGGTTCGAGGATATCTCGATGACCGAGGAATACGATTTTCAAAGATTTTGTGAGAACTATATATATATATATTTATAGGTATACATACGTACTCGTGTATATATATATAAGTAGATATATCTGTACGTATACATAGCGGCTCGTTTTTTATTTTCACCGAAAAATTTACCATCCCTTGATAACAAGAGAAATAGGAAAAGAAAAAGAGAGTGAGAGAGAGAGAGAGAGAGAGAGAGAGAGAGAGAGAAGAGCGAGAATATGGTAGACAAGAAGAACGTCGTCGTCAAGCATCGCTCGTCTCTTCGAATTCCATTTTCAATATCTTCACGACAGATGGTCGATCGTTTCGCAGGGTTGCTCGCGTTCCTTCGATCGACGTCGCTCAAGTGATCGTCACTTCGCGACGTTATCGTCGGTGCTTCTGATTTCCTCTTCAACTCTCTCTTTCTCTCCTCTCCTTCGCCATTTACCGGTGCATCCATTTTCAAAGCAACGATGCTGCTCGCGTCTCTTTTCTCGCTGCAATAAAAGCAAGAGAGATGTATATGTATCATGTCTCTGTCTCTCTATCTCTATTTCTCCATCTCTCTCTCTCTCTCTCTCTCTCTCTTTCTCACACCCTATTTCTTTTTATATCCTTTTCTCTTCTCCCATATATACGATATTCTTCACTATTCTTTTTGATTTTGCTTTCGGAGTTAAAGTAAAAAGATTTTGATGTTTATTATCAAACATTTACTACACAAACGTATTTCAAAGTAATCGAAATACTTTCTCGACATTAATTTCATTCGATAATGTATCCCTCTTAAAAAAGAAAAAAGATACTACTGAGAATATATTAAATAAGAAAGTCACCTAAGTTTCATTTACAGTCTACATTAACTCAACCGATTACACCGACTTCACGAGAATTTTATTACACGTAAAACAGGATAATCGTTTAATTTTCATCCCACTCTAATTATTCGTTTCACGTAGTCGCGGCGAACTTACTTTCCTCGACCGGCAACAAACAATTATTACTCGTTCGTACTTGTGTTTCTTATCACTCTCTTTCTCCCTCCTTTTCTGTCTTGATTTTCTCACGAATATAGTCTATTCTGTTTCTTCTCTTTTATGCTTGGTAGCTATGAGAAAACAGCTGTAACAGAAAAGAGAGCAAGACAGTAGAGTGGAAGAAAAGGCGAGGGTGAAGGAGGGTGAAAAGGGACGTGCAATTCCGCGAGGCATACTTTTGCAGTTGAAGCGAATGCTGGAAATAATCGCGACAATCCTCCACTTCAAGGAGAGGCAATAACGATGCCTCGTAGAATCCTACTCGTAAGAGTGTTCGTAGTTTGTTTCTCAGAGATTCCGTTCGTCGCGAATAAGGGAAATGAAGGAAGGGACCGGCCAATGAAAAGGGTGCTTGAGGGATGAACAAAAAAGTGAAGTAAGGAGAAGAAAGAAAGAAAAAAAAAAGAAAGAAGAAAGATAAGGAACGAAAGCCGTGGAATTTCGTGGTACGTTTTTAAAACTCGAATCGCTCGTTCCGTCGTCCTTTTCTACATGGAATTCGACGAATCTTAGAGAATGACACGAGGAAATAATGGAAAAAAAAAGAGAGAGAGAGAGAGAGAAAAAGAGATAGAAAAAATAATATATGAAGAAAAATATAAAGAATCCATGAAACAATAGATATAAATGTAATTAAAAGAAAGAAAGAGAGTGCGAAAGAGAAAACAACTTTCAACTTAAAGTCTACTCGTTTATACAAAAAGCTGCTATTTATTGAATCAGTATTTTAAACAAATGGTCAATATTTGTACTGATACTTAATTATTTATACTGATATATACAAAATATTCATGTATATCGAACATTTTAC